CCTCTCTCGTTGCTTGAAAATTGCTACTCGACCCAAAAGTGTGCAAATTGATTCTAGAGAAGCCACATGTGCTGTATTGAAAAATATTAATGTATGTAGTTGACATTTGTTCAACCACATACCAGATTGCACTCAGAGAGGTTGGTTGGTCTTAGTGAGATCGGGCACGTCAACTAACGAGGTCATTAATTCCATAAGTGTAGTGGATGGTTTTCCTCGGAAGGTGGCGGTGATCTTCCCCGATAGATGGCGAGATCCGGCGCCAACCTACCGTCAGCAGCCGAGGTTTCAACAACCAGGCATCTCCCACCACCGCAGCCTGGTCAAGCTCTAAGCTCTCGACCGGTCTCCTGGCATATATAGTGGCGTAGTTCTTGTTAGTGTAAGTGTGTGTGTCTAAGTGAAGTGGTTAGGACAAGGAAGAGGAATGGGAAGATGGCGCGCGGTCCATGGCCTGGTTGTTGGGGAACTGCTCTGGCTTTCGTCAGGTGTTGATCGGAGAAACCATGAAAAACTACCAATCAGAGCAGCCAGCTTCTAGAATTCTTCTCTTGACAGCGACTGAATTCGATCTAGCTGACAAACTAATGTCGAAACTCCTGCTACTGTCGGGACTGGAACCTAGGTTCTCCCAGTCAGAGGCACAGTAGTGAAATCAGTTGATGCACTGAGCCACCTTTTCCAGTGAGTACGCGGTATGAAACCATTCCTTCGTTTTTCCTTACATATAACTAGCTGAATGTGGCGTCGCGGACGCTTTAAAATGTTTTAAATATACATGTGTTGATAATACCTTCTATGCAAGTTCTAAACAAATACATGAAATTTACAGTAGTCTGGTTATTTTATCCTTGGACGTAGTACGTTTAAAATATTCTATTAAAAATTAAGATTAAATATAAAATAATGTGTGGTCGCAACTCTTTTTGCCGGACGTTCTTCCTGGCTACAACCACTACTCACTCCGTAAAAAGATGTTAGATAACTTAATAAGAACACTACCAGAAGAGTTGTTTTGAAGAGTACATTCTTACAGCGTATTATAAGGCGTCGTATTAAAGAAAATGTGTACCTTTGCAAACTTGTATTCTAGTATATACCGTTTCATTTTTATAGTTATTCTACGGGGGGGCGGGGGGACATCACTGACCATGAACTCCAATCCTTCTGGAGTGATGTAAGTCTTGCTCCGCGTATTGTAAACGGCGGCGTCCGGAAGATTCAATGTCAGCAGCGAACTCTCATCGCATTTCTTCCGGGCTCTGGGGCGCGTGCTTCACGCGGCCGCCGCTAAATCGCAGAAAACACTTTTTTGAAAATTTGTTCGAATCTTCTGAAACTGCTTCATAAGCGAATCATCAGTGCCCCCCCCCCGGGTGGCCGAGACTAGTCGCATGATACCTAATTTGACTGGATTGGTAGAAGGAAAGTGATCTAACCATGAATAACGAACCGATAGACAGACGAAGGTCACTCCAGTACTCAGTATTATGAAAGAAGTTCTTGCCGATGTAACCTGGTGATGTCCAATCGTTTTAAGCAGCTGTGCGAGCTCCTTTCGTTCTTTCTGTTCCGCCCTTCCGCTTTAACTGCTCCGCCGCTCTTTCCGCTCTACCCGCCTCCCTCTTACATTCTTTCACTCTGCCTGCCCCTTGCATTCCTCCGCGCTGCGTTCCTCTCCACTTCTTCCTCTCTTCCTAGTTCACTCGCTCTTTCCGCTCTGCCTGCTTCGCCCACTCTGTCTCTGCCTGCCCTATCAAATCTCTCCACTCTTCCACTGTGTCTGTTCCGCCTGTCCGTTCCGTTCTGCCACGCCCGCCCACAGTCTCCGCTCTGACTTCTCGATTAAATCTTTCCGCTCTGCATGCTACAATGCTCTGTCTGCTCGCACTATACTTTCCGCTCTCCCTTTTACCACCCACTTCTTCTGCTCTGCTTCCCTCACGTCTTTCCATTCTGCCTGCCTCGCCCACTCTCTCTGCTTTGTCTCCTCGATTAGCTCTTTTCCCTCTGCCTGCTACACCGCACTGCGTTCCCCGCCCACTTCTTCCGCTCTGTCTGCACCATTCGCTCTTTCCGCTCAGTCTGTTTTGCTCAACTTTTTCAATACCACCTGTTCTGTCCCCTCCTACCACTCCCATACTGCCGGGTAGGTGCACTGCGAAATGCATTGAATCAAATTGAAAATTTTGGAAAAAAATATTAGGAAACTCTTTTAATATCGACCATTTCAATTTTCTCTGCTTCTCAATAATCACAAAATTTCGAGAAAATCGCTCTTGTAGTTCCAAGTTTTTTGAGGAACAAACATGTGCACCTATATTTACTTGTATAATAGATTTTTGCAAATTTCTTCGAATATATAAATTTCTATAACATGCTTCTGAAGAAAGTTTCGCGCGGTGTACAGGGTAAATACTAAGTGAAATATGAATTTATCATCGGAGTTTCTGATGACATTTAAAACGACTGTAACAGCACAGCAAATGCCCGAAAAATCATTGCATTAATGCACACTTATGAGTGCCAGCTTTACCCATTCATACAGAACCTAAGAATAGTATTTTTCTCTACAAACTTACTAGCATGAAAAACATTTTAAATAGTTCACAAGATATTTTAAAAAACATATTTCTACATTTCATAACGATTGAAGTGATGACATGGAAAATAGTGATTCTGTCAAATTTACATAAAACGTTATTACGCATGGTAAACGAGCTATGTTTGATTGCCAATGGTCTCGAGAAAGTGTGTATCTGAGTTCTCGATTGTAGAGTGCAGAAAAAACTGCAAGATAAATGTCAGAAATAATTCTATTGAACTTGGTAATGAAAAGTACGGAAGTATCATAGACATTTATGTTAATCTTTTCATAGTGTTTCAATTTTGTTTTGGTATTTGTATGAACTGAAAAGACTGATAAATATTTGAGATTGGAGTATTAATTGGAGATTGTGAAGTTTAATGGGAAGTACTCATATATTCCAATTCAACTAGAAACGTTTTACATCTCAATAAGAGTCTTAAAAGATTGTAAAATTATTCTTAATGCCAAATATTAGTAAATAAAATGTTTCGGTTGTCTAGAATAAATTTATTCCTTCTATTGAAGTGTCTACTTTAGGCGCTTGCACCCTTTTTCATGTCATCTTGACAATTATTTGTTCTAATATCTTCAATTTGATTGCCATTGGAGTTATTAAAAAGTTAATTGAGAGTCATTTAGCTGTATGAAAGTATCATTACTATTATAATTAAACTTAATATAAATGTATGTTTTGTTTTAAACGAGATACATTAAATACCACTCTGTCGAATATATATGTATTGATTTGTTACCTTTACAAAGAGATATGTAAACGCAAAAATGAATTAAACAATCTGTAACCTTCGAATTCGACTTATTGATGTAGTGATAACTACTTCTTAATTTTGAAGAAAACTCTCTATGCTACAATAAAAACGCATTCACATTCAAGTTAGATTTAGACGCCAGCCTATATCCTGATGCAAAAAAAAAAAAAAGAAATTTATTTGATTACGTTTTTAGCCGTATAACTACTTGTCTTAAAATATCAACTTTGTCGCATTTCACGACAGAAGTAAATGCAAATGGAGAAGTAGGGAAGACACTGCAACTCTGAAGCAGGAATTAGCAGGATATTATTGAAGGTTTTAACACGATCGCCGGCTTTGTCAGCATCGTGCGAAAGATTAAGGTTCTCTCATTGAAAGTCAGGTTTAAGAAGTTAAGTGCAGAGAATTATCCTACGGTGCATCAAAGAAAGTAACTTATGCTTTTCAGTCATGAAATCCTTTGTTATTTCTGAGATACTGATATAAACATTTCGTGTGAATATGATTACACAGAATTTAAAGAGCACTTTTCAAGAGAAATTTTCGTGTCAATAATACTTTCATACGTGTAGAAAGTAAATACAGTTTTGATACAATAGGAAAGATACTCTACTCGCGAAATATGGAATGCATGTTCACATAGTGAGCTCAAGCGTAATCTACATTTAGGGCAATTGAACGTCGCAGATAATGTTATTTTGGATTCTCCGAAAGTTTAAGAATCTTCGGGAGCATATACCTTGTCCCAGCTTGGGCGGAACCCAGCAGGTGTAAGATACCTAGCGGAGGGAAATACGCAATTTGGCGGGTAGGTCAGCGCCGGATATCACCATTCACCGCCCCTACGCTATTAACACATGCGCTACACTTAAGGGACTAATGACCTTAGCAGTTGACGCACCCGGAATCACTAATCAATCACGCTAATGTACGAGTATATACACTATGTGATCAAAAGTATCCGGACTCTGGAGGTGGCGCCCTCCATTGGCAATGCTGGAATTAAATGGGGTGTTGGCCCACCCTTAACCTTGATGACAGCTTCTAATCTCGCAGGCATGCTTTCAATCAGGGGCTGGAAGGTTTCTTGGGGAATGATAGCCCATTCTTCACGGAGGAATGCTGCAATGAGGAGAAGGTGTCGATATCGGTGAGGTCTGGCTCGACGTCAGCGTTCCAAAACATCCCAAAGGATTCAAGTACGAACTGTGTGCAGGCCAGTCCATTACAGGGATGTTACAGTCGTATAACCACTTCGCCACAGTCCGTGCAGTCGAACGTGTTGAAAGATGCAATCGCCATCCCCGAATTGCACTTCAACAGTGGGAAGCAAGTAGGTGTTTAAAACATCAACGTAGGCCTGTGCCGTGATAGTGCCACACAAAACAACAAGGGGTATAATCTCCCTTCATGAAAAAACACGACCACACAATAACACCACTTTGGACGTATCCGGATTCTTTTGATCACATAGTGTACGTTCAATGACCCCCCCCCCAAAAAAAAACAAAAGAGGAAGAAAACGCAACAATTGAAAAAAACGCAAATTGCTCGCACCTTGGTAAAGGCCTTCTTGCGCTTCTCCGTCTGCGCGGGCATGGGCGGAGGCGCCGGGGCGGAGGCCGGGGCGGGGGGCGCGTTCAGTGCCGTGGCAGGAGCGGGGGCGGGGGCGGGCGGGATGCACCAGCGCCCTGGTCTGCGGCGGGAGCGCTACACATCGACGGCGGCACCAGGGCTACCAACTCCTGCAGCGGCGCCGTCAGCTGCTCCTTTTCGCGCTGTGGCGCGTGCACCAAGGTGAAGGGGAGCTTGAGCGACAGTTCCCCTCCCATGGCGCCAACTAGCAGCTTCACCTGCGACAGACGCATGGGGCGTGGATTTGAACAGATGTCACGAATCAATTGCACGTGAGGAACACAGATCGCTCATGCAAATAAATCAGGTATGTCACACCATCTGCGAGAAGGACTTGACCACTCGGGAAACCATTACGAGGGCGGCCAATTTGATTTGATTTATTTAATAAAAAATAATAAAAACTGTATGTCAAGTATAGGGGAGAATATCACCTGCGCACGTTTTCTTGAGTTCCTGAATCCCTTCCCATTTTAACCATAAATAGTTGACGGATAACTACAAAGTTAAAAATAAATAAACAAATAAAATGTAAAAAGCGTGAGTTTAGCAAAGTATGAAAAACTAGACATATTCGTTCCCGAGTTATAGAAAACTTATTTGCTACGGTATACGAACTGCAGATTTGAATTTTCTGCATTTCTTACAAAATAGTAACTCGCCCTTACCTCTACTCCTACCACTGCACGCAAAAGGAGAGTTCAACAAAACGCGCGCGTAGTCAAGCTACATTACGTCCAGAAAAAAACACTATATTTTGCTATATTTTTTCTTTAAACCTGTTGTGTAAGGCCTCATTTGAATCCGCCGCGCACGCGCCATAGACAACGCGCGCTCTGGGAACCGCTAGTAGTAGCGGCGGCACGGCCTAAAAACGCGCCATCGGTCCCCTGGCGAGATGCGAGTCTATGCCAGCGCTCCGCCCGCTGTATAACGAGCTGGCCAGTGCCGGGAAGGCAGATACGGCAGTTCAGTTGAATATCGTGCAGTGTAGTTCCAGGCAGCGGAGAGTACGGTTTCCTGCGCCATACGAGAGAGAGCGAGAGCGATAGAGACGGAGGGAAAGAGAGAGAGAGGGAAAGAGATGGGGAAAGAGAGAGAGAGAGAGGGAGGGAAAGAGAGAGAGAGGGAGGGAAAGAGAGAGAGAATGAAAGAGAGAGTCAGAGGAAAAGAAAGAGAGTGAGAGGGAGTGAGAGGAAAAGAGGGAGTGAGAGGAAAAGAGGGAGTGAGAGGAAAAGAGGGAGTGAGAGGAAAAGAGAGGGAGTGAGAGGAAAAGAGAGGGAGTGAGAGGAAAAGAGAGGGAGTGAGAAGGAAAGAGAGTGAGAGGAAAAGAGAGAGGGAGAGAGACGGAGACCAGCCAGTAGGAGCGAATCGCCAGTGAGGAGGGTGAGAGGGCTGCTAGATCTCCCGGCGAGAGGCGACGCGAGCCCTTCGGGAGCTGCGGGCCTTAGAGAGGCCCTCGCACGGACCGAGCCGGGGAGCTCTGAGTCGACGGCTCAGAGGGCGTGCGAGAGTCGCCCTCCCACGCTCCACGCCGGAGACGGCCCAACAAGGACCGCGGCCCTTGCAACGACAGTCGAAGGTGACGGCCGAGCAAGGCATTGCTGCAACAAGAGCCGCATCGCACGGCTGGGAAGATGAATATTGTTTCTGAAAAGGCATTTGATTGTGTAAAGAATTTTAACAAATGTAACGAAGTTAGACTGAATAACGGAACATTATTTAGACCTTCAACTTTCATTTACTGAACACTAACACCTTCATTTTTGAATTTCTACCTGGTATAAACACATTTACAAAGTAACAGGAGCATATTTCAGTTTCGAATTCTTCTCGTTTTATGTTGCGTATTATAAACTAATTTAGCTATTTGTTGTATGTATCAATAGTGCGAAATTAAGAAACATTAATTTTCTATAAATTAATTATTCTTGTTCGCGGGCGGAGACCTCTTTCAACAGACAAGCATTTTTGTGTAATAAGATTGATGTATTATTTCATTTTTAATACATCAATTCTTTGCTTAAGTAGAGGAAATGAGAATTAATATACTTCTCACTTATATTACTTCTTTTGGAGAAATAACTGTCAACTTTCTCGAAAAGACTCCATTAGATGTACTACCCCACCGAAGTAATTAGTGTTTGTTTTTAATTTCGCCAAATTGCTCTTCATGCAGTTCTCGCAAATTCTAGTTGGCTAGTTATTTTTCCCGCGACATTGACTTGCCTAAAATAACACACAGTATCCTTTACATTCAAGAGATTTAAGGCATTATATATATAATCATATTCGGTTTTGATAAAAGTTTATTCGCGACTAAACAATATTTTTCCAAGCCTGAGGACGTATTAGAGCTACAAAAATATCTCAAGTTACGAATGAATTCTCATTTGAAAAAAATAATTTTGATTCAAATTATTGTCAAAATTCCGAAAAATAACCAAAGACACCTCGAAAGAAACTTGTTGGCATTTTACAACAGTGGACTACTTTACTACTGAAGATGTAAAATACAAAGCACACCCAGAAAGCACGTTTCTGTGGACCGTTTACAAAAAGACATCAAAATGTCATGAAAAAATTTACTGTATCAGGTTCAGCAAATGAAGCACTATTTTCCCACATAATCACCAGAACTGATACGTTTATCATAACTTGGGATCAACATTTGTATCCCTGAACTGTGTACGTCAACGGCTTGGGATTGTTTGTCGTGTATGCAACTACACGCTACTCTTCGTCACTGTCACACATGTAATGTTGAATGCTAGTTACTTGAAGGTACGAAAAGATAGAAATTGTTGCCAGCAAGAAAGCCATAAGGAAGGATTGTCATAGGGTGGGTCACAACGTCTCGCCACGCAACAATTCATATGTATCAGTTCCATCCACCCCATGGTCCGGATCTCGCACCCAGCGATTTAAACTTTTTTGTCGGGGAAGCGTCTCATTTGACAGACTTGCCGAGTGACAAGTGACATTTAAATATCGTCAGAAGCCCTGGATCCCTTAACGAAGCCCCGAGGTTTACTCTGACGTTGTAGTTGACGTAGGAAAACCGATACACCCGACGAGGGAACCAGGCGGGGCTATGAGGCTTTCACGTAGTAGTCACAGGTGTCGATGACGTGGCGCTGGGGGAGGTGAGTTTTCATCTTGACATAGATGGCGAAGACGTTGCGCTCGGGGAGTGGGGGAGAGAGCCCTCACCTTGACGTAGTCGTCAACGGAGATGGCGAAGTCGTTGCGCTCTCACGTTGACGTAGTAGTCAACGCAGCTGGCGAGACGTTGCGCTCTCACCTTGACGTAGTAGTCAACGCAGATGGCAAAGACGTTGCGCTCTCACCTTGACGTAGCAGTCGACACAGATGGCGAGACGTTGCGCTCTTCACCTTGACGTAGTGTCGCACGTAGATGGAAAGACGTTGCGCTCTCACCTTTGACGTATAGAGTGACGCAGGCTGGCGAAGGGCGTTGCGCTCTCACCTTGACGTAGAGTCGACGTAGATGGCGAAGACGTTGCGCTCGGCGCGGGAGCCCGGCGGGGCCGAGCAACGGTGCGGCGCAGAGCGCGCGCCGCGCGGTCTGAACGATCCTCGGAGCGCGATCCATCTTGGTGGCGCCGCGGCGCCACGGCTGTGCAAGCTCGTAGGGCGGACGCGGGAGGAACCGGCCCCAGCGGGCACTCGGCGCCGCTCGCCCCGTCGCCACCACGTTCTTGAACTTGCCGTTGGAGAACATGCACACGTCCACGTGCTGCACCACGAACACCTGACACACACAGTCCCCAGCATCCTATTCAATATGCAGATGGAGAAAGAGTTTTGTAAGAAGAATTCTTTACGTAAGTTGTAATTATTTCTTTCCAGTAGTGACAGTACAGAAATCTAGAAAAAAATCAACAGGATTTTGGTTTTTCGGTTTGCTAAATGTTTATTGAGATCAAGAATTTGACTCCTCGTAGTGACCGATTCCTAATTCTGAGTAGCTAAACTGAAGAATGACATGATATTGCATGAATTTGAGTAAGATACAGGAGCGTAGATACCAATGTTAAACAGAAAAAAGAAACTGAGTCGGCTAAGTTTTTCTAACTGCTTTGAAATTGCCACAAATTTTGTGTTTTAGCGATTCCAAATGTTCCATATTGTGTTGGACGTAAAATACGCTTAAGAACATATTGAGCATCTAGATTATTTTAAGGGTATTTTTGCTATAGGTATAAGATGAAGAAAGGTGCGAGTCAATCTTTTTAATTATTTGGAGAGCCTTTAAATAATTTCGACTTTTGATATTTTTATAAGGAAATAAGGTTTTAAGATTCTATATAATTTATTATGGCTTTTAGGTTGTACAAAAAGTGTTCAGTGATTTTGTCTACGTAAAACTAATTTTGTGGTATTGTAATCCAACGCTGGTCAATGGTATTCGGTGAACTGCTTAGTCCTACCTTGATCCTGCGCACCGTCTTATTGCTGTTGTTGGCGACGGCCACGTGCACGGACACCGTGTCCCCGTGGCAGTAGCCCGCGCGGTCCAGGGACGCCTCCAGCTCCACCTTGCCGTCGCTGAGGAGGAAGGGCTTGGCGGCGGAGGCGTGGGGCGGCGGGGGCGGCGGCGGCGGGGGCGACGGCGCCTCGAGGTCGCCCCGCGGGGCCTGCTCGCCCGGCGCGCGCGTGGGCGAGGCCTCCGGGGAGACGGTGAGCGCCATGGAGCGCTGGATCACCCGGATGCCCATGCGCACGGTGCTCCGCCGGTGGAGCTTCTCGTCCGGCCGCTCCGCTGCCACATAACACAAAATTGTATGTAGTATGTTGGGTTTTTGGCATTTGGGTAGATTGTCCGTTCTACTGAATTATCATATATTTATCGCATCACCAATTTACCGTAATACCGATATACCGTTTTACTAATTTACCGACTTACCGTATAACCGTCTTACCGTATAACCGACTTACCGTATAACCGACTTACCGTATAACCGACTACCGTATAACCGACTTCCGTATAACCGACTTACCGTATAACCGATTTACCGTATTACCGATTTACCTTATTATCCTATTATCGATATACAGTAGGGAGTTTGTGCACCCTCGAACTGAAGCACTGTCGATCTTCAGCGCATGCGCTGCTCACGTTTCGGGTCACTTAAGTGCATCTGCGCATGCGCAGAAAATCGATAGTGCTGTCGGCTGTGACGTGCCCAAACTCACTGCGGTCCGCTGCGATAATTCTAAAATATTTTTGCTTGAAAGTTTCGTGACAAGTTAATATTAATTGTTCTGAAAAATGTAAGAGAGGGGGCAATTTACCTCATTTCCTCCCCTTGTATCTGCGGCTGTGCGAATTGCGCGTTTCGAATGCAAAGAGCGGCGAGCATCAATGCGCGTAGATAAAAATATGTTGGTACTGAGTTTATTTGCATTCAAAATTCCAACTGGAAAATTGTAAATGAATTGTTTTGCTTGAAAACACGAAGTAATTAATTTATTTCCGTTATTACTGTATCTCTTTTTACAGTTGCCGCCCGTCTTCCAGCCATTCATGCATTTATATATATATATATATATATATATATATATATATATATATATACACGAAATAATTATCCATTAACTGCAGCAGCATACAACAGAAAAGTTCAGACCATGCGTTACCGTTACGTCTGCAACAGGAAAGAGAGGTCGTAGCGTTCGAGAGTGGTGGTGGATTTGAGATTCTGGTATGATAGCTAGGTCGAATTCAGCAGCTGTCTGGAGGAGAATTATAACGGCTGGCTGCTCTAAACGACAATTTCCTGTGGTTTCTTCGATGAATTTTAGTCAAATGCTAGGAGAACACTAAGAAACGCGCGAGATCTTTCCTTTCTCTTCCTTGTCCTTTCCTCTCTCTCTACCCACACACTTAGATGCTCTGCACTACCACACTACCAAATATTTTGATCTGCCTTCCGATGTATGAACATCAATTTCTGTATTTGAGGGATTTATGTAATAGTAAAGGGTAATTGTTTTTTATTGCTGATTATTTTCATTTCTTAGCAGAAAAGAGTTCTCTTAATAAAATACAAAGCAATTATCTAAACAGACTATCCATTGAAAGGACTTTATTCCGTCAGAATCTATGATTTGAACAAAAGTAAATATTATGGAAACATTGTTCGTGCCCTCTTAGCGAAGCAGAATTATACATGCGAGCATTTTATTTTATACGCTTGGCAAGATAGAATCCATTGATTCGTTTGAGCGTCAACCGCTGAGAAGATTCCAGGAGCTTGTCGACGACGTTTGAATTGTTCGATAACAATCTCCAGCCTCTTTCTGCCTCCTCCGATACGCGGAATAATTCTTGAGCACCCAACTGCCGTTGCAAAAACGCACACAGCAATCTTGTGTTGAACAACATATTGTGCACGTGTATGTGCGTGCCGGCTCAAGCATCCGTGAGGAAGTTCAAACTTCTCTTACGCGAGGTGTCGTTAATTTGTCGTTCGCGTTGAATACTGTTGTACATGTGTCACTAGCTGCTTCGAATTCAATAAGATAATCAATTTTTCCTTTACGCAAGCTCAATCTAGCAAAGCATTCTGCTTCAAAGTTTTTCACTTTTCATACTGAAGAAAACTGCGAATCGCGATGAACTGAATAGTGTAAACCGTGCAGCTTATTATAAATAATCGGAGCAGTTAAATATATTATGTGAAACGTATATTGTGACAGTAAGTTTGTCTCCAGACAATAAACTTGTTATTATGCAATTCTTCTATGTGTAAGTGAAACCGGATACGAGTACATTCTCTTCACTCGCACCCACGAGGTATCAAAGGGTTTCGAAACTGTTTAGCAAATTACTCCATCTTAAAACAAATAATACAGATCACTGAAGTCACAACTTGCAAGGCAGCCTCAAACAAGCATACTGTAGAAACAATTATCATTAAAATACATTTTTAAATTTTTATTAACTAATTAATTAAAATGTATCATCATGGTATTCGTTGATTCGCGAATATTTATTAATAGTTTCAATAGAATACTGTATTTAACATATTTGCTTGACAACCACCGCCTTAATTTTCTACATTTATTGTAAACGATAAGCTTGGTTGGTTCTTTATGTTGGGAATAGGAATTTTTATTTCATCCTTAACACAACGCTACTATAAACGATTATTGTCTCCATCAAAGATAAAAATGATTCATTACACACCAATGCATTTTGATATTGTCGAACAAAAAAACTTATAATAAAAAATTATTAATAAATGAATGATATAACTTGAGCTTATTTCAAATTGTGTCATTTATGTCATTAACTAGTTTTAAATGCGTCTTTTGTTACCTACTTTCGAAAGCGTGCATTATCAAATTTACTACTCATGGCTTTACGCAAACTGGATTTTCGAGGATAGTACCATACAGTGCTTTTTAAAACAATACGAGTATGTATCACCGACTCTGAAACTAACTGAGCGAAAAGAACGCACTGTGCTGCGAACTCGTTACTTACGAAGGAGTAACGACCGCCATAAACGCAACGCAAGTCGTAATGTCGCGTTGACTTTAATTACGCCCCGCCGTAAGGCCAATCCCATTAGGTCTCTACGCACGTGCGTCGCGTGCAGGCGACGCGTTGTGACATGCAAAGCGGCACACACTGTTCGCCGGCGACGTAGGACGCAACGGGAAATGGAGAGGTAACGAAGTTAAGGTGCCGTTGGGGACAGCAGAACGGTGGCGGCACAGTGCACGCTGGTACCGGAGTGGGCACACGGGGTATAAAGTGAAGGAATCCCCCGTTGAGGGAGCGAAAATGGTGACGTGCGCATGTAGTACGCGATGATGGGGTAATATATTATAGGATTCAATGCCGTTTCGCAGCTGTAACTAGATATGGGATATGAAGACGCACGTGTTCGTAATATTTTACGTCATTCCTCTAGAGCTGCTAATTCAAAGAAAAAGGAACATTCACCTCGGTCTCCGAACAAAAGAATACGAACGACTGTAATATAAATTGTCACCCAAAGATGTTCAATTTTACCACCTGTCAACTTTGATTCATTTTAGGCCTGTCCTTTGAAGGAAATAAATTGTAGTTTTTATTGAGCAAAAATCTGTCGTCATATCTAAGCATCAATTGTATCTTTTGCAGGACTGATCGGTAACATCCCTATGTGTTACTGCCCTTAAACGTTATTGCGTATTGCTTTAACACTTTTTTACAATCACACTAAATTCCACAATTATCAGTTACCGCCATTCACCAACTCACAATATCGACACTCATCTAATTCATCATTCGCTTCTTTAAAGAACTCATTTCACTGTTATCAAAAACCAAATGTTTTTTTTACTTATTAAAAATTGAAGTGGAAATGAATATTGATAAGTTTTGAAACATCGATTTACAGCACTCGTTGCAAATCTTACGAGTTTTATCTTCGAAACCTTACTAATAGAAAATCACGATTGAGGAGTGAAGCAAAAATATGTTTTTCTCCGGTTGTGTAAAACATAAATGAGTAATTGTAATCACTTCAACTTATTTCGCGTAGTTCTCTAGTTTTGAAGCTAGTCTATTATCAATTGATAATTATTGTATTTAAGATGTGAAGTTTAAGTAAAGTTTTCTTTCAGTTATTGGGTTTCACACTGATCAGCACAATTAAAGTTTATATTCTATACACGGTATGACCAAATGGTTCCTGTAATGTTATAGGAAAAAATGTATCATCACCTTACTTAAATAGTGAGGAATGAGAATCTTTATTTTCGTGTGTTCCAAATATATTGTCGAACACGTATCTTTCTCACAGGAAGTGTGAAAGGATATATTCTGACTAATTATATCACTTTAGAGACTACACACATTGCAGAGTGAGGTGTGTGTGTGTGTGTGTGTGTGACTGATTGTGAGTGAACTTACCGACGTAGGCCCTAACGTCGTAGCTGGTGCCGATGGGCGCGCCGCTGTACTGCTTGGCGGGCACCAGCTGCACGGAGGGCGGGGCGAGCGGCGTCAGCTCCAACGTGAAGGGTCGCGCGTGAGGGCCTAATCGGCGCATCAGCGCCTCCTGCGGACACAAACGTTTCATCCATCTTGAAAAATTAACAGTTGAAACATTGCACTCTTTATAACCATTAATCTGTGTCATACTTTCTGAATGTCTGTAAGAGCAACGACGTTTGAGTTTGTATAAATCTCAACATTGATATTATCTACTTTTATAACTTGTTAATCTTCACGTGTCTGTTCTTGTTCTATCACATGCATTATATGCAGTATTATGCATTTTGTAACACACGGCCTTTTACATCAGACTTCGTTATCTCATTCTCCTTTTGCTAATTCGTAACAAGTATTCAAATAATATAATAATGTTACAAAATGAAAATATAAATTTGTTCGAGTTGTTTGATCTCGTGGAAAGACGATTTTGAGAGAATGGAGAGATTTCGCTGGAAGCCGGAATTTAGGCAGGAGATACTAATGTGACTTTCTGGTTTTAGAGTCCAAATAGTAGCAACTTCAGGCTATTGGAAGTTTGGCGAAACTTTGGGAAAACTATTTCTGCAAATTAATTGGTGGTTCTGCAGTAAGGAACAAGATATCCGCGAACGTGGAGAAGGTAACATTTATCTATTGGTTTTGAATTCATAATTTCATGAACAATAATTTTTTTTGTGTTTGTACCTAAAGTGTTCTTATTGAAAGCACCTCCAGAGAAAGGCCAACAGACAGCGAAGTTTGTAGAGTGTCAATGTTGATGCAGCTGAATTTATTGGCGTTCAAACGATTCACGTGTGTATACGGTGTTACAGAAACGTGAGTTCAGTAAATTCGTAACAATAAGGGGGAGAGTGTTTTTTCCCTTAATATTCACGAAACTATAGATTTTAAAAGTGCTTCCAATCTTACAACTAGAATCTGAGATAGTCTCAGATCTTCTTTTATCAAACAAAATCTTCAAATGACGACGGAGATTCTGGATTCGGTGATGGGTCGTAGGATCATCGGTAAAGAAAAAAAAATATAGTAGTTAACGTTCGAACCCGTCCAGTTGAGGTTTGACACAAATTTGCATGTTGTGAAGTATCTACATATAAAAGAAAGGAAATGGATCTCATTTCTCATTGTTCCTTTCGGCGTGCCGTTCCGTGTCAGACGACGCGCACGCTGCCTGCCGGCGAGGTAGTTACGCGGCCCCGGAACACGCGTAGAAGCGTGGAACAGCTGTCAGGAGAAGCCAAGATGAAAGAGCTCTGAGGCGCTGTGAGTGGCAAAGGACGAGAGTGTAGTCTCGGTGACACCTCCTAACACTCAGACTGGGAAAGACAAGTGGGGAAATATCCAGCTGAGAATGTTTGCAATTGGTTGTCGTAATACTTAGTATTGGCAATCAAACATAATTCTACTTTCAAGGAAATTACGTATGTAGATGAACTGGATAGCCGAGGTGGCTAAGAGCGTGTACCGACTCAGTACTGCGGCCAGAAGGGTCGCTAGAAAAATGAAAAGAAAAGCTTTTAACGGACTCTCGGCTGGATAAAAGCCCTACAAAAAAATTAAATAGTATAAAAAAGAACCTAATTTTATGAGTGAATAATATTAATATCTTGCAAAATCACTGATGTCGTGAAAAACGAAGTATCATTGTAGAAAATCTTAGTTGTACTTCAGTACTAGCATTGTAGAAAATCTTAGTTGTATATCTCACATCCGCTAAATGAGTCATAATTATAATTAAGAACATATTCGAAAATAGTCTACCGGAAGGTTATTGGAGCCTCAGGAAATGAGCAGTTTTATTCAATTAGGAGAAAGCGGTTTAGGAGGAGAAGGAATTTTTCCAATATTTTCCTCGACCAGTCAGAAAACGACAAAGCATCTACTAACACTTTCAGTAGTACCTTTAACTATATAAATGCTATTATTCATCAGTAGGGAATGGAATTTTTTGTAATAAAAAAGCAAAATATGTAAATATATAAGTAATTATTTATTCAAAAAATAAGCAGGAAAAATGAAAATATGTAGAATAAAAATTAAAGTTAGATTTTAAAATTGTTAGATTCAATGTGCATTTTCAAGTTTTCAAACAAAAAATGTCGCCGATCAGCTCTCAACATAGATTTGTAGCGTCTGAAGGAACGTTCCACATCTACAGAAGTAATTGGAGCATATTTGAATGCTGATATCTCTATTGGGTTCAGTTGTACTTCCAGTGTAGTAGTGACTTTTTCTCCTCTGCGATTGTTGCCAATTATTTTCATGTCTTGCCAGCCTAGAGGTTTCTCCAACCAATCTTGTAAATTCTCTTTCATTTTCTCTGTGTTTTCTCCTACTAATTCTTTTAATTTTGTTAATGCACTGTTAATTACTTCAATACTAGCAGCGCTAACCGCATGTTTTGTGCCTCAAGCTTTCCATTAACTTGTACTAGAAAATTCCATTTGCAGAAATTAAAGCACAATTATTCCTCAGACTGAAAGGATTTTGCTTTTGTAGTGCCGCAAATGAATTCGAGTCCAGCTTCAAAAGAATATCTTTTATTTGTTCAATGTTTTCTCAATATATTTTGTTGCTTCTAACTACGTGCCCGATCTTGTAATTATCGGCTTTGGAGGCAAATTCATTTCAGGATACCTCTCTTAAAACATTTTCACTGTGCTTGGTAGTTTCAAAAATACTTTTTTAACAGTCGATATCAACGTATCAAAACAACCCCCCCCTCAGAAAATTGATGCTGTTTCTGCCACTCGATGAAGCACATGTACTACGCACGTAAGATGAATCATCTTTGGATGGAACACTTTTAATGTCCTCCCCACTTTCACCATGTAAGGAGCAGCATCAGTTAAAAACAACACGTTTTCAAGAATTATATCACTAGGTCACAGCAGATTCATAGAGACATTGAGAAATGTAGCAATTGAAGCGGAGTTGCATTTTTCTGGAATTCGACAATTTAATAGTAATATGTCGAAGGAGATTCAATACTATTTGAAATATATCTAGTGAACGTCAGTTGGTTCATCAATTAAAATCCAGACCTTACTAGTTTTTATTTCCCTTTGAATTTTTGTCAGAGTTTCCAAATAAATATTTTTCAAGTTCAAGTTTTTTAGTGTGCTTTCATCCCGAATTGGTTTGTTAGTATATTTTTCTAAGAAATTCTTGAACTCTGAGTCATTGACTTTGTAAATGGGAATATCGAGTACACACGACACAAATCGGTAAAGAAAACTGACTTTTTTGATTGAACGTCAGGTGAAGATGTCAAGAATGTTTGCTGAAGTTTCAATTTCCTTTCTGTGTTTTCTCTATGTTTTGCTGCAGCGATGTACTGCGTGACTTGAAATCGTTGTGACGTTCAAACCTTTTTGTCGCAGAATGCGCAGTACAATATACTCGAGTCACTTCTGAACGTTTTATTAGGAAACTCGCGAATGTATCTAGCCACTAACTCCTTCGATGTCGATTCGATTGTCTGCACCAACTCGCACCAGTCCACAGCAGTTTCCTCAGAACACACCACCCACATCACTAAATACGTTTGTTACACGAAACGTAAAATACGTGAAAGTATACAGTGCACTGATTTTGACAAGTCGGTTCATATGTGACAAGCTGTAGTGGAGAGCTAATACCGATAGGTTCCAAGTTTCTGAGATAGAAAGGTATCTCGATGGGATGCAGGAAGCGCGATAAGACGAAAAATTCTAAACAATGTCCGATTTATATTGTGTTATGTGTGGGTTGAATGTTATGCGAGTAAGCATGCTTTTGCATATACTTCTGCTTCTCAAGCATCCTACGCGTTTTCTTAGAAGCAGGGACAAATGCTCAGTCGGAGCGATGGTCAGGAGGACGGAAAGTGCAGTGTTACATTTCGAAGTTTAACAGAAAGACAGATACTGAGAACATTTTCGGAAAATTCGTATTTGATGTGTGTCATCGTACATTTTCAAATGTAACGAAATACGTAAAAAATAGTAGTAAAGGGTAAAATGTATGTGAAAATATGTAACCAATATACGCCAAAATATGTAAACATATGTAAAACGAAAATGGTTTCAACTCATTCTGGATGTCTAGCAAACTCTAGGGAAAAAAATCAAAGCAATTACCTTGTTTCTATGAAAATATGTATTTACATGAAAATCCATAGTCAGCAGCCACCAACAGTTAATTTTGTATCCCAACCATACGTACTTCAAAAATTTACAATTATGTCATGTTCCCGCAGCTGCAATTGATTAAAAATGAAATTTTATTACACGTAAACATTCTACTATATTTACTATACATCGTTGTAAAGAACTACGGATCATTTGTTAGGAACTGGAAAACATGAAAAAATATGTTTTCAAAAAATATTAGTATAAAATGACCATATTTGGTTTTTGCGACTCATAAAGGCACTTCATTTTAACATTTAAAATTAAAAATCGAATTTATTTTAAACTATAAAAGCTAGATTCGCCTTTTCTAAAATTTCATTCCGCCCTTAGTAAATCATTGTTTTAAAAGTAAAAATAACCCCTCACACACTTGAAATATTAGTACCATAGGAAAGCCTTATATAGTCGTAAATAGTACAAGTATAGCAACTCAATCACGAAAATGAAATACGCAAGAGATGCAGCAGTGCCTCAGACGTTCCACACTGACGAGAGTATTTAGTATTCTATATAACGCTTATTTATAGTTTAGATGTATATAATTAGAATTAAATTAGTAGATAGACGTAGTTAGGTTAAGAATTAGTTGATAAGTCTCTCGTATAGTAAGCTTAGCAATAAGCACGCATACAAATGGAAGATAAGAATAAATTGAAAAAAAAAGTTCACATTTCCCTCGCATGTTCACCACGAAATCCACATAAGGATGTAAGACAAGGGTGATATAGATTAGTTTGTAAGTATCTGTCTTGTAAGCTAGGCTATACGGTCCCTGACATGCGTTATCAAAGTTTCCGCATGTTCTCCCAAATATTCCTCCAAATATACTCACACGTATCCTCAAATATTATCTTATATATTCTCCCAAAACTGAAAATAT